AAGATGTTTATTATTTATTGGTAGGATACATACATGAATATGAATACAAAAGAAAGAAAATGAAAATGAAAAACTTCTACTATTGATTTGTATGTAAATCAATGCATTACCAATTCAATGTTTCTTGCCCTACCCACCCTCCTGATCCCAACAATTATGTTTCTAATTATGGTTTGGTTTGTAAAAAATTGAATTATTATTATTATTATTATTATTATTATTATTATTATTATTATTATTTACAATTCATGGACTATTTGAACAGATTTGTGTAAGGCTGGTGAATGACAACTGGTAATTCAGTCAGACCAGGGTTTGTGCTAGAAAGGGAGTTAGACTAGGGTTTCAGAGAAATGTGAGAGAAGATGTGACATTTTAAATGTAATAAATAATTAATTTGCTGTGTTTTGCTTAACTTCTGTAAATAAAGAATTTCCTCTGGTTTCATACACTTTTGGTCTTTGGAAATGCTGTCTGTCTGAGAGGTTGGATTCAGACAAGATGTCTGTGGTGGCAGCACCAAATATAGAGAGGTGGTGTTCATGGAGGATGGAAGTTGTATAAATCCTCATATGTACCTTGAGGACATTGAGATGGTCCCCACAGTTGGCTCCACACAGGTGGGACAGAAGGTAGTCCTTACATTGTGGCAGAGACAGGGGTCAAGGAAAGCCCTCACTCTTAATAATTGCAATGATCACTATGCAAGTCTTCTCAGTTGGGGATTAAATGGTAGAAGAGCCACATTTGGCCACTGTGATGGGATTACCTGAGGGGAATCCTCACAACTGGTGGCATTGATGAATTTGTGTATGTGGAAAACCCCACAGTTGTTGGGAGAAGAGTTGGAGAACCCCACAGTAAGCAACTGAAGAACAGGCCAGTATCCCAAACACAGTGACCCAAACCACTCTCCACTCTTAGTAATATACTTGCAGCGCTCCCACATAATGGGATTAATGTGTAAGTGATTATTATGTGACCAACCGAGAAACAAAATGCTGCATGTGTATCTGTGTATGTGTACTTCAGATTCCTCTGCTTTCCACACATGAGATCCAAGTTGTTTGCAGCATAGATTAAAAACAAGGTATTGCTAAAGCACAATGGTTTTAATAAAAGTGTTTTTAAAAACCCAATCATTTAAAAGTGCAAAAACATTTAAAGCACTATTATAAAAATAAAAGTGTAGTACAAACACCATTAAAAGACCCTCCAACAACAACCAGGTAATCACCAAAAGCCAGCATTATCCCTGGGACTGACCACAATGGCAAGCACATGCACTGGGCCAAATCTGATGCAATGCCACATTATTGTGCACAAGAGCTAGCTTTTAGCCATGCCGTATGCCTTATGCTAATCACAGCTGCCATTGCCAACCATGGAGCGAAAAACTCTGGTGAGACTGCAGAAGAGGTGACAAAATGTATGTGCATGTCTGTGTTTAGGGGAACAGGATAGCAAACAAAAATGCTATTCCCCACATTGTTTCTGGGGAATGCTCTGCAAAGTCCATTAAATTTCACTGGAGAAAAATGTACTTTATATTCAGCTCATTTAAAAAAAAAAGATTATTCAACATAATATCAGTACCTTAGTTCCAGTCTCTAGGGATGAATGTGAAATACACTGGATAATGAACTACTCCATGTGTACCTCAGACAAAATCACAATTTTTGTCAGAAATCTGTAAATTTTGAAGTTTGCAAAGCCATTCACAAAATAAAACAAACAAACAAAAAAAGCATTCCAAAAATATGCAGAAATTCCCAAAAGGGGCATGGTGGGGAAATGCATAGACTTCAAAAATACACATGGACAAGCTTTAGCCAATGTATACAAAAAATGTGTACCAAAAACACAGACTTGGGAAGAAATGAACAACAAATGTGCATGAAAAAAAGAGTTCACAAGCCACTGTAGAAATGTACTGAAAGGAGCTTACTATTGGGGTGGGGGGGAAATGGAACCTCAGTGACATTGACCTTGATACATTTGACTATTCCTGTATGGCTTGCTTCCACAGAATGTGGTGAAGAACACCAGTTTAAATAGCTTTAAGAGGATCAGACAAATTCATGAAAGATAAGGCCCCAATGGCTTCTAGTTATGATGGCTATTAGCTGCCTCCACAATGATAAGCAGCATGTCTCTTAAGGGCACCTGATGGGAAGCAGACATGAGGAGAGGGCTGTTTTTATAGTGTCCTGTTTGTAGGCTTCTCATAGACAACTTGTTGGCCAACATCTGTTCAACTACACTGGGAAGCAGGATGCTGTACTAAACAGGCCTTGGTTCTGATCCTTTTCGGATATCATGTATGGATATCTGAATAAATCTGCCAAGACATTTTGTTCCTTGAAAGAATGCAGCAAATGGTAGCCTCTGTCAGGTCAAAGTGTATACTACCCAAAGCCAGGCAAGTTATTTTGTCATATGATACAGAATATCCTGGAAACATCTCTCCTCACAGCTACAGTAAAAACAAATAATAATTAAAGAATAACAAATTAAATAATCATTTGCTGGATCCCCAAATTAGTTACCTAAAGCATGTGCTTTACTCACTAATGGTAAAGCTAACCCTGCTTCAGATAAATAAAGAGGGAGAGAAGGGAGGGAGAGAAGAAGGGTAAGAACAAAGTGCAAATGAACAACACACATTTTCATTAACACTGCCAAAAAATAATGGGGGGGGGGATCCTAGGAGGTGAGTTCTTTCTCAGTGCATCCAAAAATGTTCTTCAAAGACAAAGAAAGTTTAATCAGTCTTCTTGTTATTGATATTGTATGCCTTCAAGTCGTTTGCAGCTTATAGTGACCCTAAGGTGAAGTTATCATAAGGTTTTCTTGGGAAGATTTGTTCAGAGGAGGTTTACCATTACCTTCCCCTGAGGCTGAGAGTATAAGTTGCCCAAGGTGACCCAGTGGTTTCCATGGCAAATGGGGAATCAAACCCTGATCTCCAGAGTCATAGTCCAATACTTAAACCAATGCCACACTAATTGTCTTTAATCACCCTTACCTTTAGCCTCACTCAATTACCCTCACCCAAAATATTGATCAAATTGTATTTATAAATTTTGGGGAATGAGGAAAAAGTGTATCATGAGACCTACCTAGGTTGGCATGGTATCTCCTTTCCTAAGCATATGTTTTTTTTTAAAAATTAACCTTTATTGTACAAAACGTCAAATTGCCATACAATCAATAAATCAATAAATCAGTCAATAAAACATATCATCTTACATTCGTGTACATTCTTTTTCCACTAAATACATCTTTTACTCCCCCCTTCTTTCCTTCTTCCTTCCTTCTT